CTGGTTGTGTGTGGTTGTAAATGACAATATCTGGTTGTGTGTTTGTGTGTGTGGGGTTGTAAATGACAATACCTGGTTGTGTGTGTGTGGTTGTAAATGACAGTATCTGGTTGTGTGTGTGTGGTTGTAAATGACAATATCTGGTTGTGTGTTTGTGTGTGTGGTTGTAAATAACAATATCTGGTTGTGTGTGTGTGGTTGTAAATGACAATATCTGGTTGTGTAATGGTTTAAGTGACTCTAATTAGCTATGAGTGGTTGTGAGTTATTATATCTAGTTGTGTGTGTGTGTTGTTGTTGTGACTATATTTAGCTATGCGTGGTTGTGACTAGTTGTTGTTGTTTGTAGTTAAAAGTGACTATATCTAGTTGTTGTTGTGTGTTGTTGTAAGTGACTATATCTAGTTGTTGTTGTGTGTGGTAGTAAGTGACTATGTCTAGTTGTTGTTGTGTGTGGTAGTAAGTGACTATGTCTAGTTGTTGTTGTGTGTGGTAGTAAGTGAATATATCTGGTTGTTGTTGTATGTGGTAGTAAGTGACTACATCTAGTTGTTGTTGTGTGTGGTTCTAAGTGACTATATCTAATTGTTGTTGTGTTTGGCTGTAAGTGACTATATCTAATTGTTGTTGTGTTTGGCTGTAAGTGACTATATATAGTTGTTGTCGTGTGTGGTTGTAAGTGACTATATCTAGTTGTTCTGTGTATTAGTAAGTGACTATATCTAGTTGTTCTGTGTATTAGTAAGTGACTATATCTAGTTGTTCTGTGTATTAGTAAGTGACTATATCTAGTTGTTGTTGTGTGTGGTAGTAAGTGACTATATCTAGTTGTTGTTGTGTGTGATAGTAAGGGACTATATCTAGTTGTTCTGTGTATTAGTAAATGACTATATCTAGTTGTTGTTGTGTGTGGTTGTAAGTGACTTTATATAGTTGTTGTCGTGTGTGGTTGTAAGTGACTATATCTAGTTATTGTTGTGTGTGGTTGTAAGTGACTATATTTGGTTGTGTATGTGTTGTTGTAAGTGACTATATTTGGTTGTGTATGTGTGGTTGTGTGTGACTATATTTAGCTATGAGTTGTTGTAAGTTAAAATATCTGGTTGTGTGTGTGTGTGTGTGTGTGTGTGTGTGTGTGCGTGTGCAGTTGCAAATGACTATATATAGCCATAAGTGGTTGTAAGTGAATATATATCTCGTTGTGTGTGTGGTTGTAACTATATCTGGTTGTGTATGTGTGGTTGCAAGTTACTCTATCTGGTTGTGTATGGTTGTAGTGACTATATCTGGTTGTGTGTGTGCGGTTGCAAGTGTCTATATTTAGCAACGAGTGGTTGAAAGTGACTTGATTTAGTTCTGTGTGGTTGTAAGTGACTATATCTGGTTGTGTGTGTGCGGTTGCAAGTGTCTATATTTAGCAACAAGTGATTGAAAGTGACTTTATCTAGTTTTGTATGGTTATAAGTGGCTACATCAGGTTGCATATTGTTGTGACTATATTTAATTATGAGTGGTTGTAAGTGACTATATATCTAGTTGTGTATGTATGAATGTAATTGACTATATTTGATTGTGCATGTGTGCGGTTGCAAGTGACTATGTTTAGCTATGCCTGTATCGGTCCTCAAAGGGAGTCCACTTGGATGCCTGTATCGGTCCTCAAAGGGAGTCCACTTGGTTGCCTGTATCGGTCCTCAAAGGGAGTCCACTTGGATGCCTGTATCGGTCCTCAAAGGGAGTCCACTTGGATGCCTGTATCGGTCCTCAAAGGGAGTCCACTTGGATGCCTGTATCGGTCCTCAAAGGGAGTCCACTTAGATGCCTGTATCGGTGCTCAGAGGGAGTCACATCATCTTGGCTACAGGTGGTGAGGGAGTACAGTACGATTCAGTTTTTGATTGCGTGCCACTTGCTGAGACGTGCGTGAGGCAACTTTTTGATTGCTTGCCCCATGCTGAGGCGTGCGTGAGGCAACTTTTTGATTGCTTGCCCCATGCTGAGGCGTGCGTGAGGCAACTTTTTGATTGCTTGCCACATGCTGAGGCGTGCGTGAGGCAACTTTTTGATTGCTTGCCACTTGCTGAGGCGTGCGTGAGGCAACTTTTTGATTGCTTGCCACATGCTGAGGCGTGCGTGAGGCAACTTTTTGATTGCTTGCCACTTGCTGAGGCGTGCGTGAGGCAACTTTTTGATTGCTTGCCACTTGCTGAGGCGTGCGTGAGGCAACTTTTTGATTGCTTGCCACTTGCTGAGGCGTGCGTGAGGCAACTTTTTGATTGCTTGCCACTTGCTGAGGCGTGCGTGAGGCAACTTTTTGATTGCTTGCCACATGCTGAGGCGTGCGTGAGGCAACTTTTTGATTGCTTGCCACATGCTGAGGCGTGCGTGAGGCAACTTTTTGATTGCTTGCCACTTGCTGAGGCGTGCGTGAGGCAACTTTTTGATTGCTTGCCACATGCTGAGGCGTGCGTGAGGCAACTTTTGATTGCTTGCCACTTGCTGAGGCGTGCGTGAGTCAACTTTTTGATTGCTTGCCACTTGCTGAGGCGTGCGTGAGGCAAACTTTTGATTGCTTGCCACTTGCTGAGGCGTGCGTGAGGCAACTTTTTGATTGCTTGCCACTTGCTGAGGCGTGCGTGAGGCAACTTTTTGATTGCTTGCCACTTGCTGAGGCGTGCGTGAGGCAACTTTTTGATTGCTTGCCACTTGCTGAGGCGTGCGTGAGGCAACTTTTTGATTGCTTGCCACTTGCTGAGACGTGCGTGAGGCAACTTTTTGATTGCCTGCCACTTGCTAAGACGTGCGTGGGGCAACTTTTTGATTGCTTGCCACTTGCTGAGGCGTGCGTGAAGAAACTTTTTGATTGCTTGCCACTTGCTGAGACGTCCGTGAGGCAACTTTTTGATTGCTTGCCACTTGCTGAGGCGTGCATGAGGCAACTTTTTGATTGCTTGCCATTTGCTAAGGCGTGCATGAGGCAACTTTTTGATTGCTTGCCACTTGCTGAGACGTGCGTGGGGCAACTTTTTGATTGCTTGCCACTTGCTGAGGCGTGCGTGAGGCAACTTTTTGATTGCTTGCCACTTGCTGAGACGTGCGTGAGGCAACAAACGTAGGAAGGAGCTCGGGGGAGGGGGGGGGGGGGTTTGACAAAATGGAAAAAAAAAATGTTTTTTAACAACTGTTTGGGTGAGAAGGGAGATGGTGAAAAATGTCCGCAACGAGTAGCAATTAACCTTGTTGTGCCACTTCTGTCAGGTGGTGCGCTTTTGTACTGTAGAAAAAACTGTGACGCATGTGTGAGTATGGGGTGAGGGGGTGGGCGAATGGGTCGGTGGGGCGAACTCTGCGTAACCGAACTGCTTTGAGGTTTTGACAACGGATCAACATCATGACACACGGCTGTAACCCATGCGTGCTCCGTCATTATTCTAACTCAAGTCTGAGTTGGAGGAAGCTCAGCACAGTGCACAGGCAATGAGCTTCGTGAATATGTGAGCTGCTGTATACGTGTGTGAGAGAGAAAGCATGTGTAGGTGTTTGATGTGTAGTCCGACAGTTGATGGTCTTTTGGGGAGGGCGGGGGGGGGCACATCTCCTTGTTATACCCTGACTGTTGTAACCCAACAGAAGTTAATAATCTGGGGGGGGGGGGGGGGGGCAAATCTCCTTGTTATACCCTGACTGTTGTAACCCAACAGAAGTTAATAATCTGCCCAGTGAAGTTGCAAACAACTGGTAGTTTGATATTCATCTCTAGGTCTGTATTTATAACTACGGATGCCAAGAAATGACATTTGTATGTCATGTATGTAGTGTCATGTGTGTGGTGTCATGTATGTGGTGTCATGTGTGTGATGTCGTGTAGGTGATGTCATTATGTGGTGACATGTATGTGGTGTCTTTTATGTGGTTTTATGCATGTGTTGTCAAGTATGTGATGTCATGTATGTGATGTCGTGTATGTGGTGTCATGAATGTGGTGACATGTATGTGGTGTCATGTACGTGATGTCATGTATGTGCTGTCGTGTATGTTCTGTCATGTATGTGGTGTCATGTATGTGCTGTCGTGTATGTTCTGTCATGTGTGTGGTGTCATGTGTGTGGTGTGATGCATGTGCTGTCATGTGTGTGGTGTCATGTATGTGGTGTCATGTGTGTGGTGTCATGTGTGTGGTGTCATGTGTGTGGTGAGATGTATGTGGTGTCATGTGTGTGGTGTCATGAGTTTGGTGTCATTTGTGTGGTGTCATGTGTGTGGTGTCATGCATGTGTCTTGCATGTGGTGAAATGTATGTGATGTCATGTGTGTGGTGTCATTGTGTGGTGTCATTGTGTGGTGTCGCGTGTGTAGTGTCATGTATATGCTGTCATGTATGTGGTGTCATGTGTGTGGTGTTGTGTATCTATGTGGAGGAAGCCATGGATACGCTTGGATATTTTCCGGACAAAAACGACACGGACATCATCTCTGAAATAACCTACCAGCCTTCAAGCAAAATGGACAATACAAGATCCAAACCGGCAGATTGGCAGCCATCTCACGTCTGCTAATGAATTCAGAGACTCGGTTGAGCCCGGACATTAGCAAACAGCAGGCGAAAGCCACACGGGCGGGCTTTCATCAGCTAACATTAAAATGCCGTAAAATGTCCAGGTTTTAACGAATCTGCTCACATTTCTATCTTGACGTCAAGACACAACCCCTCGTGGCGAAATTCAAGTCTGGCTTTTATATTGTTTGTCTCAATTCCTGGATATTCTTGCTGTTACTGTTGTCCATAAGATTACAGTCATCACCACTATCCCAGTCGTTATATTACTGTTATTATATTGTATTCTGTGTCACAACAACAGTACTGTAACTACGGTTATTATGATGCTATTTTCTGCCAGTCCCCTGATGTCCGGCACATGTATGAACAGGACAGCTAGACATTAGACCTATCTTTCACCTTTATCTCGGCGTTCCTGTTTACTTTACGGCACACAAACAGAATGTCAGACAACATAGATGAGGACAAAAAACGAGACGAGAAGGTCTATGGAGGAATTGAGGGTCCCAACTCGCAGTACGTCAAATGAATCTCCTCAGATGGTCATGAATTTATTGTCAAAAGAGACCACGCTCTCACTTCTGGAACTATCAAAGCCATGTTGAGCGGCCCTGGTCAGTTCTCAGAACATGAAAACAATGAGATCAACTTTAGAGAGATCCCGTCTTATGTCTTACAGAAAGTCTGAATGTACTTCACCTATAAAGTGCCCTATACAAACTCATCCACGGAAATCCCAGAGTTCCCGATCGCCCCAGAAATAGCATTGGAACTACTCATGGCTGCAAATTTTGATTGCTAAACTCTCCTGATTGGATTGTTTCATTTCTAGTGATGACTTGTGTCGGACTTAGGAAGAAACCCTTTTCGTTTGTAAAATGGTGGTGTTGCCTTACTTGATTGAACTATCCGGGTAGTCTAAATTACGAAACAAAACTTCAGAGTTTATGACAAAATATCTCTGTAGTTTACAGTAAATATCTGAGACAGTTTATTTAAAATCTATATTTCATTTTCATAACATTTGCATATTTTAGTGTTTTATGTTGCATACTTAGGAGACGTAAACATGTTTTAAAGTATTTATGTTGCGTTTATTTGTTGGGTGTGTTAGATGTTTCACCATATATTATTATAGGGACTGTAACAGTTTTGTTATATGCATAATCGTATTCCGGAAGTCTCAGTCACATTTGCCAGATTTTGTGTGTCCTGTAGGTTATTTGCAATAGGTACGCCTTGACCACTGACAATTGATCCTAGCTCGCATAACATGGGCTTTAGGTTAGAAAATAAATTTGGTTTCAAAACAGTTTTTTTAGTACTTTAACTTCCCCTGTTATTGCTATAGCATTACTGCTCAGCGAAACACACAAATTAACAGTTTGTTGTTGTTGGTTTTTTTTTTTTTTTTTTTTGAAACTTGTTAAGTGACAATTTTTAAGAGGGAGATTAACAGGGACTTAAAAAAAAAAAAACTTTGTTAATTTTAAAGATGAAAAATTAAACATATGCTGCGGTATATTCTTCTTTCCTATATACGGGGTAGTAGAAATTGTGAACATAAGAGCAGCGTATGCGACTGTTACTAGCGTAAGATATTGACTGTTATTCTTACACTTGTTTACTGTACCACAAGTGTATGTTCAAAGTGTGTCCAGTACGATTTATTTTTTCAATATCTACAGCCAAACCAGTACTGTTGAATGCTGTATCGAACTAAAACATTAAGAAAAACTGAAACAGTTACTAATAAACTTCCATTCATTCATTAACTAGTGCCTGAGCAAACTAGAGGGAATAAAACTGTATGTTAGACTCACTAATATAGACCTTTGAGGAAAAAGTAAACAAATTTAAATTGAGCAAGCGGTGAAAAGGCTTTGGATTGGACATATTTTGAGATAACCTGAGAACAGTTTAAATAATATTAAACTGTGGGAGTTTGTTCAGGACCCGTGCTCTAGTAGAATTCGCGTGTTTCTTTATTCTAACCACTATTTTATTTAAACAATATGAAATTGCGTCTTAAGCAGGTAGCAATGTTTTAGGATTATGTCTGTTAGTAAATTTTTCACACAGACGTTTGAGGGGACTTCTTGCGTGCTGGCAGTATGTATACTGATACCAATGTGCTCACGTCTGTCTGTATTGTAGTGAAAGGTGTGTCTAGATTGTTATTGTCACGTCGCAACTATCATCACACATACCTCACCAGGCAGATTCTAGTGCATGTTTTGCTCTATACAAAGACCAGATTTTTTCGTTTGCTGCTTTAAAGGACAGCTGTAGCCGTGGAATTGAAAGTCGAATTTTTGTATTTAAATTTCTTTAAATTGTCTTTAATAAAATTTAAATAAATTTAAAAAAAAATGATGATAACGAGGGGTAGGGGTGATGAGTATGGAAATGATAATGATGATTATGATAATGTATGCTTATTATTGCACAATATAATCTTCATGTGTCTGTAGCACAGTAGCATCTTCATCTTCATCGTCGTGTTGACTGTCCATGTTCTCATCTATCCGTCGTGTTGACTGTCCATGTTCTCACCTGTCCATCATGTTGACTGTCCATGTTCTCACCTGTCCGTCATGTTGACTGTTCATGTTCTCACATGTCCGTTTTGTTGACTGTTCATGTTCTCACATGTCCGTTTTGTTGACTGTTCATGTTCTCACCTGTCCATCATGTTGACTGTCCATGTTCTCACATGTCAGTCATGTTGACTGTCCATGTTCTCACCTATCCGTCATGTTGACTGTCCATCTTCTCACCTGTCCGTCATGTTGACTGTCTATGTTCTCATCTGTCCGTCATGTTGACTGTCCATATTCTCACCTGTCAGTCATGTTGACTGTCTATGTTCTCACATGTCCGTCATGTTGACTGTCCATGTTCTCACATGTCAGTCATGTTGACTGTCTATGTTCTCACATGTCCGTCATGTTGACTGTCCATGTTCTCACATGTCCGTCATGTTGACTGTCCATGTTCTCACCTGTCCTTTATGTTTTCTTACATGTCCGTCATGTTGACTGTCCATGTTCTTACCTGTCCTTCATGTTGACTGTCTATGTTCTCACATGTCTGTCATGTTGACTGTCTATGTTCTTACATGTCCGTCATGTTGACTGTCCATGTTCTTACATGTCCGTCATGTTGACTGTCCATGTTCTCACATGTCTGTCATGTTGACTGTCTATGTTCTTACATGTCCGTCATGTTGACTGTCCATGTTCTTACCTGTCCTTCATGTTGACTGTCCATGTTCTCACATGTCTGTCATGTTGACTGTCTATGTTCTAACATGTCCGTCATGTTGACTGTCCATGTTCTTACCTGTCCTTCATGTTGACTGTCTATGTTCTCACCTGTCCGTCATGTTGACTGTCCATGTTCTCACCTGTCCGTCATGTTGACTGTCTATGTTCTCACCTGTTCGTCATGTTGACTGTCCATGTTCTCACCTGTCCGTCATGTTGACTGTCCGTGTTCTTACCTGTCCTTCATGTTGACTGTCCATGTTCTAACCTGTCCGTCATGTTGACTGTCCATGTTCTCACCTGTTCGTCATGTTGACTGTCCATGTTCTCACCTGTCCGTCATGTTGACTGTCCATGTTCTCACATGTCCGTCATGTTGACTGTCTATGTTCTCACATGTCCGTCATGTTGACTGTCTATGTTCTCACATGTCCGTCATGTAGACTGTCTATGTTCTCACCTGTCCGTCATGTTGACTGTCCATGTTCTCACCTGTCCGTCATGTTGACTGTCTATGTTCTCACATGTCAGTCATTTTGACTGTCCATGTTCTCACCTGTCCGTCATGTTGACTGTCCATGTTCTTACCTGTCCTTCATGTTGACTGTCTATGTTCTCACCTGTCCGTCATGTTGACTGTCCATGTTCTCACCTGTCCGTCATGTTGACTGTCTATGTTCTCACCTGTTCGTCATGTTGACTGTCCATGTTCTCACCTGTCCGTCATGTTGACTGTCCGTGTTCTTACCTGTCCTTCATGTTGACTGTCCATGTTCTAACCTGTCCGTCATGTTGACTGTCCATGTTCTCACCTGTTCGTCATGTTGACTGTCCATGTTCTCACCTGTCCGTCATGTTGACTGTCCATGTTCTCACATGTCCGTCATGTTGACTGTCTATGTTCTCACATGTCCGTCATGTTGACTGTCCATATTCTCACATGTCCGTAATGTTGACTGTCCATGTTCTCACCTGTCCGTCATGTTGACTGTCTATGTTCTCACGTGTCCGTCATGTTGACTGTCCATGTCTTCATAGCGGACGTCCTTGACTCCGTCTCAATTGCATCATCTGACGCAACATATTGAAGTCACTAAGCAGACTGACGATTGACCTTCTTGCTCGGAAACTTCTGGATAGCTGGTGCGGAAACGTTTTCTCTAATAGGGCACATCAGCAAAATGAAACTGCCGATTTTTTTTTTTTCTTCTTCTTCTAACTAACATGATTCATAGTGAATTCATGAATAAATGAATGAATGAATTGATATCACTGCACTCGGGACACTCCTACACGTGCTCCGTCCCCTTCTTTAGTAGCCAGCAAAGAGTTGACATCCTAATGGTACCAGTTGCAACCTGATTAAAAGTCCACCTTTGCTTCCCTCTCAATGTTGAATATCTTCTAAAACTCCCCCCTTCCCCTTTCCAATCCATTTTCCGGTGGATTAGTCTTTCAATGTACGGATTACCCTACATTTGTGTGTGTGTATGTGCGCGCGCGCGCGTGTGTGTGTGTGCGCGCACACACACTGTCCGTTTACTCCCAATGAACCTTCCCCACATCCACTTTATCTTATAATGGCTCACAGCCTCTGAAGGCCAACAATAAGGTCAATTAATTGCATAAGATCCCACCTCCTAACATATGTTAGTTCTAAAACACCGTATCACCGTGTACAACTTCAAGAAACCGTGACTGCTGTAACGACTGTTTTCGTCGAGCTTGTGAAGCGACATTCTCAAGAACCGACTACTGGCGATCACCTCACTTGACTTAGTACTCTAACATCGCTACCAACAGACAGACAGAAGTTCTCTCCCCTCAGTGTTTTCCTGGCCTGAAACATCTCAGGCAGTTGTATCTGGAAACTTTGGTTAAAGATGGATTCTACAAGTGGTCGTCAGAGATTTGTTTTCGCAGCTGAGATAGCAACACCAGACACTCAAGAAACCATCTCGCCTACAATCTGTAAACTGATGATTGACAAATCAGTCTTCCGCCAAATGTTTCTTCTGACTGTGACCATAACCGCAACTTCCCTGCTTCTGTCTCCAGCTCTGCCTGGGATATAAGAGCCATCAAACAAGGACTCATTGGGGCACAGAGACCATATGTCATCAGTTCTACCACAGTTAGAACAGCCATCAAACAAGGACTGTAGACTCACTGGTTCACACATCTACACGGGCGATCAACACTAGGCGTGTCCATTTAGAAATATGACGTCAGCAGAGGGATGGTTTCAGAAGGTAAAGTACACATGAAAATGATTTTGAATTATTGTTACTATACTGTTTCTGATGTTATTGTTACTAAACTGTTTCTGATGTTATCGTGACTATACTGTTTATTGTCGTCCTTATGGTAAAACTCGTCATGATATTTCAATTTTAATTCATCCCAAACAACGGACATTGGTGAATCAAGGTGTTTTCTGTTGCGGTTTCTTTCCTTTTTTTTTAAAATAACCTTAAACATAAACCTAACTCGAATCCGTGTTAAATATAGGTACCCTACATTTAGGTGCCAT